AGCAATTATCAAAGCTTTATATATAGTGTTATCATTTAATACCCATAATAAAAAAGTATGAAGCAATAAATAGTATAACTACAGAAATTTATAAAACTCTTTACAAAACATATGTTAAAAATCTATATTAAATGTTTAATAAAAAAGATTATATAGGACAAATATTAAAAATAGTATAATTATAAATTTTTTTTTTAAATTTTTATTATTTATTACTTATTAAAACTTAATAATTAATTGTTTTAGATTAAATAAAAGAAATTGATAGAAAGTGAAGCTTTTTAAAATATTAACAAATTATAGGATTTCATAAATTTTTGTAGATATTAAAATTGGAAGATTTAAATTACTTATACAAAAAAATAAAGATAATTTGAATTTGTTATAAATTGAGTGATTTAATATATTGATAACAAGTCTTGATAAATTTCTTGAAGAAAATCAATTAATTCTATTAATAAAAATCATTGATTAGAAATATTTTCTTCAACAATATTGGAAAGTAATAATATTAACTATTTCTTCAAATTTTTATGAAAATCTATATTTTTCTAATATTTTTATAAGTGAAAAAAATGAAGATGGAGAAATTAATTGATATGGTTTAATAAGTGATTAAATTTAAATTTTATTAATTTAATATTTTATTTAAATATTGTTGATATTTAAATTTTATAAATATGAAGATAGTGAACCATTAAAACTTGTTTATATTCATTGGTATCAAGAAGAGAATAAACTGTGAGAATATCAAAAATTAAAATCACTTAAATAGTATAGTTGTATACCAATAGATAGTATAGATAAAAGCATACATATAGTTCCAAGATTTGATAAAACAAATAAATATTTAGTAAATAATATATATTTTAATTTTAATTTATAGAATCAAATAAAATCAATTAATATTGAAATTAATTATATTGTTTCTAATAATAAATAGTCTTTATTGTTAAAAATCAAAACCTATTTACCAAATAAAATACAATTTATATTAATATTGATATATATTGATTATAAACAATTTTTTATTTTTGATATTAATCGATAGAAAATACCACTATCAATACTTATTGATTAATTATAATCAATTACTAGTGATTATTGGTTGACTATCAACAAATAACTCTGTAAAAATTTTTCTGATGTATTCCTTATCAATTCTTTAAAAATTTTTTTGATGATAATTTTTCTAAAAAAAGTACTTTTGGCTTTTTTTATTTATATGTCATATCAGTTATAAGCTAAAGAACATAAAAACTTTAAAAGACTATCATTATGTATCTTAAAACTATAAATATATTAATTCATGATATTATAAATTTATTTTTAAAATTATATTTAAAACAATTCTAATGATTTCATTTTTTTGAAGTTTTTTATATCAACAACAAAATCATTATCATTTATAATGCAGTGATATAACCATTTATAAATAGGTATCAATTATTAGGGATTAATATTAATATGCATCTATACTGTATATTTAATATGAATTAATATCAATAGCCATATTACATTAAGTTAAGATTAATCAGCATAATAACAATATATAATGAATTTAATATTAGTAACTATAAATGGAATGTATTTTTTAATAAAATTTAATATTTCATATTTATTTGCAATAAAATAAAAACAAATAAATAATACAAGGGCAAATAAATGTTTTTATAATATGTTGTATTGATTTAAAATCTTGACCGTTAAGAAGAGTTGCTCATTTTTCCCTATAAATTAATATCAAATTATCCAAAGTATATAATGGGAGTATCTAGATATTCTACATAAAATAAATACTAAAAACATCGATTCTATCGCCTTGCAGTTTAAAAGATAAGCGTAATTGTCAAAGAATCTGCGCAAAAGATATTGGTCACGCAGATAGCGACCATATGTGTCAGTCAAAATGTACGTACTACAATAATGTTTTGATAAAATTTTATTCTGTTGAGCCTACTAATTTATTGTATTATACGCTCTCTATACATTCCAGGTCATTACTGTGGAGAACCATGTTCTTTGTCAACATCCACAAAAAAAGGAAATTACCAGTGCCCTAACAAATGCATCATAAATTGCAAGGAAGAACATGAGCGTCATCGTAAGAATACAAATACTGTAATTTATCGAATTCCATGTTGACTATATTTTTAAAAAATATATTATATTGTAATATTGATAGGTTGTGAAAGTGAAACTTGTCCTATTCAATGTCCTATACCTGAGTATGAATCAAATTTTCCCAATCAATTCATTCTTTTAGATCATTTATAATGCAAAACTAAAAAAAAAAAAAATTTTTTTCTAAGCTGCCAAAGAAGATGTCAAATTAATGATCATTTTCATGCACATTCAAAAAATTATTCTATAGACCATTTCTGCGGGTACATACTACTGTATATATAATAAACAAAATGGTATGTAGCATTATAATAGTACCAAATTACACAGAACAAGTGTTTCGTGATCTCCTATTTGTAACTTGTCACTTAAATTGATAAAGGTAAAACAC